AGGACCTCAAGCAAGTTCCTATTTTTACAAATTGTTATTATTAACTCAATTTTTTTTTTGTGTGTGTGTGTGTGTGTGTGCCGGGGATTGAACTCAGGGGTACTCGGCCCCTGGGTCACATCCCCAGCCCTATTTTGTATTTTATGTAGAGATAGGGTCTCACCGAGTTCCCTAGCGCCTGGGTAAATTGCTGAGGCTGGTTTTGAACTCGCGATCCTCCTACCTCCGCCTCCTGAGCCACTGAGATTTACAGGCATGCGCCATCGCACCTGGCTACAGTAAGTTTTGTTATGTTCTTTGACATTTTTAACCAAGAACAGGCATTACTTGAATAAATATAAAAGTTAATAATGCCGGCAATCCCCGGCACCAAAAACAACAACAACAACAACAAAAATCCACTGTACAAAATAACTGATTCATATGTCAGACTTATATCCTAGAGGCAGCTACTTCCATCAATCATTACAAATGTTTTGTTTGTTTTGGTACCTGAGATTGAACCCAAGTGAGTTTAACCACTGAGTCACATCCCCAACCCTTCTTTTTTTTTTTTTTTAGGACCTCACCAAATTGCGGAGGCTGGCTTTGAACTCCTGAGTCCTGAGTCGCTGTGACTACAGACATGCACCATGGCGCCCAGCTTTTTAAATACCATAATATTGTCACCAGCATGGGGTCTGAAGAAGTTCCCAGAAGGGAAAAGGGGACCTCAACCCTGGTGGGTTCTTAATTTATACTACAGAAAGGAGAGGCACAAAAGTTTAAGAAAGTAGTCTGAGGGCTGGGGATGTGGCTCAAGCGGTAGCGCGCTCGCCTGGAATGCGTGCGGGTTGGATCCTCAGCACCACATACCAACAAAGATGTTGTGTCCGCTGAAAACTAAAATATAAATATTAAAAAATTTAAGAAAAGAAAGTAGTCTGAAATGGGTGTAATCCCAGGCAGGAGGATCGCAAATTCAAAGCCAGCCTCAGCAAAATTTAAAAATTTTAAATTTAAATAAACAATAAAAGGGCTGAGGATGTTGCTTAGTAGTTAAGCGTGTCCCATCCCTGGTACCAAAAAAGAGTAATTATCTCAGGGGGAGTCCTGAATGAGGCAGTTTTCAGCTCTGACATTCTGGATTAGCAGTCCCCACACTATGGGCGCTAGGGATTACATTCAACCTGTTGCCTGTTTTTGTATAGCTTTTCAAAGAATCATTTTTTACCTTTTTTAAATAGTTGGGGGAGCATGCAAAAATTATTTTGTGATTTGTGAAAATTATGTCAATATTCAAATTTCAGTGTCCTTAAGTTCTTTTTTTTTTTTCTCCAGAGACTGGATCTCATTGTGTTTTCCAGGCTGACCTTGAACTCCTGGACTCAAGCGATCCTTCTGCCTTATTGTCCCAATAACTAGAGCTACAGGCACAGGCCACCCCACTGCGCTGGGCCCATAAGTTTTTATTGCACTTGATCACACCCATTTACTCACTAAGCTGCAACAGAGACGTCATGAACCGACAAGCCCAAAATATTTATTACTTGACCCTTACAGAAAAATACTGCCAACACCCTTCTTAGACTCGCCGGGATTGCTGTATTGCTGGTTATCCTTTAGGCCTCTTTTGGTTCCCTTCTTAGATGATGAGCTCCTAGGCGGTGGTGTCTGGGTTGCAGTAACCTTCAAGAACGCGGGTCGTGGCTAGTCTCATTGACCAGGCCCGTAAAACAGCGACGACTTAAGGGCCAAGGCTCCGGCGGCGTCTGCTCTGGTCTCAACTGCTGAGCTTGGGAGAGATAATTCCCTTTTCTGTCCCGGGGCTTCCTCCTCTGTGCAATGGAGATAAAGGCTGTAAAGTGATATAAGAGAGAGATAAGATGTGGAAAGCACCGCACAACGCTCTCATGAGTCTTGCCGTGCCTCCAAACATTTCCTGAGGAAACACTGAGCAACAGCGTGGCGCGGGCGCAGGGCCGAGGCCAGCAAAGTTACAAAGTGGGAGACACTGGGACCCGCAGGCCCTACACCGGGGGGCGCCGCCGCACGGCTGTCAATCAAAGTCGACTTGGGGCGTGGACTGGAATGGCAGGGCGGGGCGTGGTGGCGCTTCCGCCAGAGCAAGGCGGCCCGGGGCCTCCAGCCGGCGCTGGGCACACTCGGGAACCCGCTCCCGCAGCCGCCTGCGGCGCGGCCTGATGAGAGGGACCATGGAACTGGAGCCGGAGCTGCTGCTGCAGGAGGCCCGTGAGAACGTGGAGGCGGCGCAGAGCTACCGGCGCGAGCTGGGCCACCGGCTGCAGGGGCTGCGGGAGGCGCAGAGGCAGGTCGGAGGGCCGCACCCTAAGGGGCGCTGTGGGCCCGGGAGGTCGCGGGGTGCCGAGCGGTGGGCTAGGACTCCGGATGGTGGGAGTGTCCGAAAACTCCGGAGAAAGAGGGGGAGAGCTCTGAAGAAGGACAGGGACCTCGTCAGGTCTGAGAATGGGGCGGTGGGAACTGGGGAAGTTTTAGGGGAAGCCAAGTTTGGGGGAATCGTACGAAAGTGTGAGGAGTGTTCCCTAAATAAACTGTGAGGGGCAGCGATGGGAGGGAATAGGATTGGCGTCCGAGGTTGGGGAGAGTGAGGGACCAAAGCAAAATCCGAGGGATCCAAAGGATAGTGATGACTGAACAGAATCGGGAGGTGGGATTATTTGGGAAAACTTGTGTTAGCGATTAATTTTAGCGAGCCTGAGAAAAAAACGGGGGCAGTGATGACCTGGTGAGAGCTGAAGAGGGAGGAGACAAAATGGATATTGGAACCGAAGGACTAAAGTGAAAGGGAAGAGGTAGGGATAGAGAAACCGTAATGTTAACACTAAATGAATGGGGTTAGTGTTTGAATGCCTCATATGATCTTGAATTCATTTCGTAGAAATCGGAGTCATCTCTTCTAGGTAGTTTAGAATTTAAGGATAAGGTTAATTGGAAGGGCAGAGGAAGGAAAATGAAGTGCTTGAAGGAGGATATACCAAGGGACAGATTTTAAAGAGAGGAGTGCTCAAGGGAGAAGCTAAATATACCTGCAAGTGGTGGAGTTATCTGTTCCAAGGGGAAAAGGTTATCAAAGTTGTAGGAAAGCCACATGGTTTCTCTACACCCTCAAACATACACAGAAAAAAGATATAACCTACTGCTTATGTGTGATTGGACAAGTAGTTCTTTAAGTCTACTAATAACCTAAGGACTTCATAAATGCATTTTGAATGAGTGGGATTCCATCTGAATTTCTCTAAGTCTCATTTGTTATTTATTAATAGATATTGTCAAGCTAGTCAGTCCTACCTGACAAAGAATTTGAAAATGTTAGAAGAGTGTTGTCATAGTGTCTTTGGATCTTGTCATCACTAAGAATACTCAGCATACCTTGGGCTTTATGTATTTTAAAGTTCTTGTAGAGCTGATGTAGGCCAGACATCATTTTCATTTTAGTAGCAAAACTGAGTCTAGAATCTAGGTATGATTATCCTGATTTGGTGAACACTTTTGCATGGCATTCGAATACACTTCTCTGGATTTTCTTTTGAAAACATTTGCATTATTCCTTCTGCTATTTTAATGTAAAGGTTCTAATTCAAGGACATTGTTTAAAAAGATACAAAAATACCTCTTTTTTTTAATGAGTGCCTTTTTTTTTTTTAAAGAGAGTGAGAGAGGAGGGAGAGAGAGAGAGAGAGAGAGAATTTTTAATATTTATTTTTTAGTTTTCGGCAGACACAACATCTTTGTTGGTATGTGGTGCTGAGGATCGAACCCGGGCCGCACGCATGCCAGGCGAGCGCGCTACCGCTTGAGCCACATCCCCAGCCCCAAAAATACCTCTTAATATACAACTAATGTGTCAGCCAGTTAGAATATGTCTGAGCATAACAATTGTTTTAACAATATCAGTAATTAACTATCAGTAGACATAAAAGGAGTGAGCACCTGGGAGTGGTACTTATTAACTTCTCATTTGATATTGAATGCATTAAAAAAAATTAGTGTGACTCTATCCTTCATGGTTTAGTATTCAATTTCCAAACCAATATTCTTTTAAATTTTATATCCAATAATTTAAATAGAGGACATACTTTCCTATAATTTAGTGTTATTTAGTATGGTTTTCCTTTTTGTTCTGTTTCGTTTTGAAAGCCATTGTCTTGGGCCTGAGACAGAAAAAAACTAAAGGAGCATCCATCACAGACTTCTGATGACATTGCCTTCTGACAAGGAGGCTAAGTGTGGTTCTCTTTTGTCAACTGGAATGTGTTTTGTGCCAGTGCCAGTTACAAAGGCTAATTCTGTTCGATTGTGTGTGTTTGGGTTTGTAGAATAAGTCCACTGTTAACTTGTGTTTTAAGGAAGGTCTGTGTTACAAAAATATTATCAAAATAAGCAGTTGGTTTTGTTTGGTGGTTAGGATATTTTTAGAGTCCCAGTCATTTTCAGAGTAACTACATAAAATATATGGCTTTTTAGCCAAAGAGTTTGCATGGGGAAGAATGAGAAGATCAGAAAGGAAGGGATATATTTAGTTTTTTGCTTGTTGATTTTATTTACTTTTGGCAAATGATGTTGGGTGCGAGGGTGATACCAGGGATCAAACCCAGAGCCTTGTGCAGGCTAGGCAAGCACTTTACACTGATATGCCTCCAGTCCCTGATATTTTCCAATTGAGATATAATTTATATACTATAAAATTCATGTTTTAAAGCATTCAATTCAGTGGCTTTTAGTGTATTTACAAAATTATTAATTATTGATTAATTCCAGAATCACCACCCTCACCCCCTGGAAAAATTCCATATCCCTAGTTATTCTTACCAGCGCCTGTCAACTAAACAATTTTCTGTTTCTATGGATTTGCCTGTTCTGGGCATTTCATATAAATAGAATCATACATTATGTACAATATGTATTCATTCTTGATTATCATTCATTCATTATTTATTTATTTGTTTGTTTGTTTGTTTATTGAGACAAGGTCTTGCTAAGTTGCTTAGGGCCTTGCTAATTTGATGAAGCTGGCTTTGACCTTGTGATCTTCCTGCCTTAACCTCCAGTCAGACACCATGCTGGGCCCTGCTCTTTTTTATTTTAATTTTGAGACAGAATCTGGCTAAGTTGAGATGCTGTCTGGCTGGTCTGAAACTTGCAATCCTGCCTCACTTTTTCTAGTAATTGGGGTTACAGGCTTGCATCACCATCCTGGCCAAGTTTTTACCGTTTTCTTCTTTTTTGGGGGGAGGGGGTATGTGTGTAGTACTGGGGATTGAACCCAGAGCACTCTATATCCCAGCCTTTTCATTTTTAATTTTGAGAAGGGGCCTCACTAAATTGCCCAGTCTTGCCTTGAACTTGGGGTCCTCCTACCTCAGTCTTCCTACCTAGTAGCTAGGATTACAGGCAGGCATCATGACAGCCAGCTATGTTTTTACTTTTTTTAGATTATATTAACAAATTACTGGATCACATAGTAACTCTTTTTTAAATTAATTAATTAATTTTTTTAAAGAAGTTAATGTTTTTTGTTTTTTTTTTTTTAAAGAGAGAGAGAATTTTTTTAATATTTATTTTTTAGTTTTCGGCTACCATTTGAGCCACATCCCCAGCCCAACTCTTTTTTTTTTTTTAATACCTTTATTTTATTTATTTATTTTTGTATGGTGCTGAGGATCGAGCTCAGTGCCTCACACATCAGAGACAAACGCTCTA